TTTGATGGAAAAAAAACAATGCGAAATAATGATTTTTGGCAATTTTGAGACGTCCCCCCATTGCCATGGTAACAGGAAATTTACCATTGAGCATGCTGTTACAGAGGCTATGGTGAGTCAACATTTGTGCCAAGTTTCATTAGTATTGAAGCATTTTTTCATAGTTTCAGTTGCAGTTTGAGCTTGTTACAGGAGGCTTTTCAATGAAAACTGCCATTTTTTCGCAAATATGCTTACAAATGGGGTAAAAGGTTAATTACCTTTATGTAAAACTCTTACTCGAGACCACTTCAGGCGTTTGGCAAATTTGCAATGCCAATATTGGTCAATTTATCAAAAAATAATCACCCTTTGATCAACAAGAACAAAATAACTTTGCATAACAGTTTTATTTTTCCTGCTTTGAGAATTGTGCTGGCACCGGACATATTGGGGAAAAAAATGCTTCGCACCTTTTCATAAATATATTTCGCCGAACAGGTAGTATTAGGAAACCACCATAATTCTTCGTGACACATCTTTACAGTGGGGATATAAATTTTCTACCCAGAATTTCTCAAGGTATTCATATTGCAGCCATTCCAATACAGTAAAGTATTGATAATGTTCCAGTTACAGCAATTAGAAGAAGATAGAACAAACATTTAACCTTTTCCCTCATATACAATCGTGTTTTGACGGCTTTTTGCCCCCCCCCCCCCTTTTGAGGCCTCAAACAGTGAAAAAATGCCCTATTTTGGCCCCAAACACTGTTTTTCGTTTGAGAAATGTTGTTAAAAAAAAGTGACCACTTTTTCAGCGCCTTCCACGATCCAAATATTACATTCGCAAAGAAATTTTTTGACATGTGACAATCTAATAATGGCCTCAGGTCGATCTTAGGGTAACTAGTTACCGACGCTGAAAAGCCTTTTACTCTTTCTCAATTCATTGAGAAGTTTCAGCACTTTGAAATTAGTTTTGATGGAAAAAAAACAATGCGAAATAATGATTTTTGGCAATTTTGAGACGTCCCCCCATTGCCATGGTAACAGGAAATTTACCATTGAGCATGCTGTTACAGAGGCTATGGTGAGTCAACATTTGTGCCAAGTTTCATTAGTATTGAAGCATTTTTCATAGTTTCAGTTGCAGTTTGAGCTTGTTACAGGAGGCTTTTCAATGAAAACTGCCATTTTTCGCAATATGCTTACAAATGGGGTAAAAGGTTAATTACCTTTATGTAAAACTCTTACTCGAGACCACTTCAGGCGTTTGGCAAATTTGCAATGCCAATATTGGTCAATTTATCAAAAAATAATCACCCTTTGATCAACAAGAACAAAATAACTTTGCATAACAGTTTTATTTTTCCTGCTTTGAGAATTGTGCTGGCACCGGACATATTGGGGAAAAAAATGCTTCGGTTTTACTGGGAATTTTACATAAGATGCAAAATATTCATTGGGCATTTCTTTTATCCAGAGAGACATGAAAAATATGCATATAAATAGATCTATACACTTTAAAGCCATGTATTATAATCTAGTAAATCAAGTTTATGGATATTCTATTTTGAAGTATCTTTGTTCATTGATGGACAATTTTGTATCGATATATCGAGAGACAGATATCGAGGATATTTTGATTTATTTAATTTTACCCATAAAATATGGTGCTATATCAGTCAATTATATTTCATATTTTTTAAAATATTTTTTTTTCACAACGAATGCCCTCATGAATTATCTATCTTTATGATAAGTTTTCGACAAGTAAATGTAAGTCGACAATTCTTGCTTCTTCAACTGAGATCATGCAAGTCGACAATTCTAGCTTACATGCGGTAATCGATAAAGCATTCAATTTTCGCTAAAAACTATTGAAGAATGATAACAGTTAGCGAAAGTTGTTTGCAAAAAGGTTAACTCAACATAATTGACATATACAACAGAAAAAGTTTTTTAATTTAGTACATTTTACGGATCTGTAATTGCTTTAAATTAGAGCTAAAAAAAAGTACCGGTTTTCCAGGTCTGTAACGCGGTACGTACCACAGATTTCTGGGACCATGGTCTACCGGAATACCGGTTAATCCGCGCACCTCTATTACATATACCTCAAACTAAAGTTTGTTTTGACATTTGAAAACAGATTTAAAGTTCAAGTGAGACAAGAAAAATGGAAAAAAGTGACTTCTCTTATTAGGGAAAATAGGAAGGTAAATTCACTAACAGAAATAAATAAATTTTAACTTGTATAGATATTTGAAAGTATGTATCGATATTGTATAGGATGATAAGTATCGATGATATATCTATATCGCGATATTCAATGACAGCTCTTTAAGTTAATTAAAAACCAATAACATTATCACACTGAATGTTTGTTTGTAAAATTCAAACTGGTAGGTTATCTCTAAGGATTATCATCTGCCACATTAATTTTATCAATTATTTCAGGTATGTGAGTATTTTCCCTTCTGTACTGTATCCTAGAGTCATTAGTTTTGACGCCCTTAAGCTGTTTAACTAGTGCATTTTTTATATTTAATTTGATCATTTAAATAAATTACAATATAAAGTTACTATGGCATATTGTTTATCACTGCAAACCTTTTTTATGTTTGTAAAAAGCTCAAAATCACTGAAGTTTTGTACTTAAGTAAACTGACCCTGGAGGCATCCATTGTTGTTTACAGTCATATGAAATGACGCCTTTTCATTGGGTGGTTATTTTTAAAGGATATTTCACTGTAATGCAATATGTACAGCAAAAGAAGTTTTTAAATGAGCTAACATTTAATGTAACAACATTGTGAAAACTTAAAATTAAGTTTTATTGCATATAAAACTGTCCATTATTTGGGAATGCCATACACCCTGGCAGTCGTCTTAATAGGTGCACCTGTCTCTTTAAGCTTGAATGTATTTACCAATAATCTTGATGAATAGCATCTGCTTTTGGCTTACAGAGCTGAAAAATATATCTAAAATGAAAGGTGTTGTAAAGATATGTATATGTTGATGTAAGAAATTATTTAAAATGGAGGACAGAAACAGAAAAGGGCAGGTCAAGATTTTTCAAAGGCTGTATTTGCAAAATTAAGGCTTGCATAAACATTGATTGATTTTGCATTAGTAAAAAGATGAAAAAATACAGTAAATTTGATAAAGGTAAAGTATTTTTGGTGAAATGTCTCTGTCTTTCCAAATGTTTTAGTAAATACATGGTTGCAGTGCAGTCAGCAAATTATGACGTCATACGAGGTCGTTTTCACCAATTCTGAGGTCAAAACAAAAATGGCGTCAAAATAGATGAGCGTCAAAACACATGACCTGACGATAATTATTTCTCACTTCCTGCTACTGTACTTTAGTTTTTATCATACAGCATTGTTGACAACTGTAACATACAAGTTTGCTTCTTTAAAAAGAAGTATTCGAGAAGTCTTTTGCAGCTATTGAAGATTTGTTTATTTTTGAAATATTTGGAGATATAAAAGGCACAAGAGATTTTTCAAAACGGGCATAAAGTATGTTAATCAAACAATTTTTAGTCCCTGGGATTTACATTAATAATGTATATATCATTTGATCGTTATAAACAATATATACTACTGCATGCCTCCATCCACAAAAAATAATGGCAAGAAAATCAAACTTGAGAAAAAGTTGTGCCATTTTCGCCAGTTGTGCTAAAAAATTTCCGTTGCTTTATTTAGTCGTACCAGTTCAAAAGTGAAAGGAACAGCAAATTTTTGGTACACCGTTTACTCGGTCATATAATAGTGCATGGTGATATTGTTCACAATTGTTATTATTTACAGTAAAGCGCTATGCAGAAAACAATTATCGATTTATACAGTTAAAACTTTAAAAGGATTAAAAACGGAATGAACCATACTAAATAAATATATTTATAATATCAATAATTTCACAATAATATCTATATTTTCACTGCAGAACACTACATTGCTGACGTAGTGTTAAGTAACGTAAATGATATTTTGCAATTTTTCCTTGTACCGATTTGTTCACTTAGATGTTTATTTTTCATTTAAGTTCAGTTAAATTCTGAGGCGGAGCATGCGCATAACAATTTAGTAGACTGATTCTAATGATTTAAGACTTAAAATGCGATGCATTAGCTTCAATTTGATAAGCAAAAATGGATGCAGGAATCAGACATACATGTAAAAGTGATTCATAATTAGCTATAAGCATTGCACAGTAGAGTTATAACAAATTGGTATAACTCAATCATCGTACATGTTCCAAGCTGTACATATGAGTCTAAAATAATCTTCAAAACACACCATGACCTTTCAGTTTTGTCAATTTGATGCTCTACTTGGTAACTTTGGTACCCTTAAAATAAACCTTTGAGAGAATGAGAAAGGTATGTGGCAACACTAAAAATACCACAGCACAAGTCATTAGCAGTACCAGAACTAGCTGGGACATCCAGAGTGACCAGATCATTATTTTTAGTGTTTAAATGTTGTATACTTAATGCACACTGATTGCAGAATTGAAAAAATAAAACTAAATATACTGGGATCTAAATCATTACTGCTTCAGTTGAATTAATTGTTTTGTTGAATTTGAGTGTTGATATTAACCAAAGAACATCTGCAGGTACTGTAGAAAAATAACGGCATTTTTTGTCAAATTTGTGAAGTGGCCTTGGCCTGTTCATTTTGTGGGAAATAAACTCGATGTGCCATAAAATTGTGAAGAAAAACACATGACATATTACTTAGCATTTCGCAACATTTCGACAACTGAAACAGTTGATTATAATTTCTGGTGTAAAATCCTCTTCAAGTTGGTACATTAACCTCAGTTAATATGCGCAAAAACCATTTAACTTGATAAAAACTATTTCTGTGTTATCTTGAAATTGGTGTAAATCAAGTTTCACCGGAAGGTAAACAATGTATTTCTAAGACAAAGTTGCAATATTTTGTGAAATCTCACTTGAAATTGTGATTTTTTCTACCGCTTTGTGAAAAAAAATGCCCCTGTTATAGAAGGAATAAAAGCCCTGAATAATAAACATTTCAATGCCAATATTATCGGACATAGTAAACCAGAAGGTGGCTGCTAATGGTTGTCATTGAATTTTACATTTCCAATTCTGGTGGGGAAAAAAGCATAGAAATATGATTTATTTGATCATCTGACAAAGGTTTGAAATTTATTGAAGCTTCCTCGTGATAAATTAATGAAAATAATTAAATACTGGCTTATGACTACGCTGTCTTTCAAATACCGGCTTATGTGCGCCATATACACTACTACCCTAAAACGGTACTGTTCCCAATAGAAAATAAACATTAAAATACCCAATTTCCAATGTTTAAATTCCCAAAATGGCTGTTCAAAATTGCCACATGGCCAAGAAATTCATCTGAAATCATTTTAATCCAACATATTCATATAAATCACTACTTCATAGTTCTACCTTGACAGTGGAAGCTGTTAGCTATCTTTATTCATGACGATTAAATCTTATTTATAGATGAAAAAATGCATTAAAAAATATTCCCAATATAAGTCAAAATAACACATTTTTTCCCAATCAGTCTGGTACAGGCACCATTCCAAAAGTAGAGAAAAAAACGCTGCACGGTCAGAGGGCTTAACGATTTAAAGAAGATTAAACCCTCACCCTGTCAATAGTTTCTTTCTTTTACTTTCATAGATCATGAGGACTAGAAGTAGAAGTAGAAGAGGTAAAAAAAAAGAAGACTTAAGCTGTGCAGAGGAGGGAATGCTGCAGGTCAAATATATAAATAGCTATATTGGTATGATTTTAAACTTATCATTTTCTGGGTTTTGCCTAATAACAGACAAGAACTGTCAAGAAGCTAAATTTTGTTTATATTGAATTTGAAAGTACGTTTTAAGCACAGACTTATTATTTTGCATTTAACATGCTGGGAAATATTACCATTAACGTTTATTGTGTACACCACATCACATCAGTCAAGGTATTTTGAGAGCAAAGAAAGTGTCAAAATGTTCATTTTAATTGTATTGCAACAACTTAAAAAAGCGCAAGACTATAAAGACTTTTCTTATTCAGTCCCAATGGTCCGTCCATAAACATTTACTTTAAACGACATATCCTCATAAACCGCTGAACTAATTCATTCAAACTTCACAGGAATGTTCCTTTGGTTGTCACCTTTAAAAATTGTTCAAAGAATTAGATTCCATGCAAGACTCTGGTTGCCATGGTAACCAAAAGAAAAAACTTAAAAAATCTTTTTTTAATCGAAAAAGCTAGAGCTTAGATATTTGGCATGGACATGGTCTAGTAGCATAGTAGTAGGTGTCTACCAAGTTTGTTCAAATAAAACCCTGGGATCAAAATTGGTCCTGCAACGGGGTCATTGATTTTCTTTATTTGTATATAGTAAAAACTTGAAAAAACTTCTTGTGAAAAACTCAAATAGCTAGAGCTTAGATTTTAAGCATGAAATATCATTTAGTCAGTGTCTACCAAGTTTGTTCAAATAAAAGCCATGGGGTCAAAATTGGCTACCCCACTTTTTAAAAAACCCCCAAAGAACTAGAGCTCAAATATTTTGCTTGAAACCAGAGATTTTTTCCCCCAATTTTCAAAACAACCTGTGGTTTCCTGAAGGGGAAAGTATTTCTCGATAAATCAGAAAAGGGAAAAATCAAATTCCAACAACTGAGAATGCATTTTATAAAATTTTCAATTTCAATTCAAAATAACATGCATGGTACAAAGCAGAGGCTATAGGGACAGTTTTCTGTCTTCTAGCTGATATAATTCGTCAGATGCTGTTGAGTCATGGTTCTGGTAAAGAAGTGCAAAGGGTATTTCAGGGGAAAATATTAGCTTTTAGGGGAAAATAATTATACATGTACCTTTTTTGAGCTGGAATTGCGAATTTTAGCGTGTAACTTTCTCATTAGTATGCTTGATTTGGCAGTAGTTTAATGCCTTTAAGCTAGAAAAGCTTTTAACTTTGTTATAAATTTTATTGTCTGGTTCTGAAAAACTTTTATTTAGAATTTTTAGCGAATTTTTCATTCAAATTGGGCAAAATATATATAATTTTTGGCGTTGGGAACAGACAAAAAGGCCTGCTTTATTATTTCCTGTCAAACATGTATACTGTGTTGTTTTATTTTAGGTTCAGGAGTGTTTGCACTGAGCGACATAGAAAAGGGCAGACTTATAGTCCTATATGAGGGAGAACTGATAACCAAAGAAGAAGGTGAAAGGAGACATGCAACATATTCAACACAAGATGGCTCCTTCCTCTTCTTCTTCTCCCACAAAGGGAACAAATTATGGTATGTTATATAGATAATTTATATTTAACCTAGTAACAATGTTTTCATAGAGCCTGATAGGCACATGTTGATTCGTAAAAACATGACCACAAGAGGGCTTGGCATCTTTTTGTTATATACAACCAACTAGGTTGGAAAAAATGCAGGGTAAGATCCTTTTAGAGTGAATGACACTATTGAATATAAATTTATTTGTTTGTGTTTATCTTTATTATCTTTTAAATATCAAAGTGTAACTTACCAATAGGAAATAGGAGTTTCAGTAAGCGAACCATGCTTACAACGTGTGTGGAACACTAAGCAGTAAGTTACAACTAAATGTAATGATATCGGGCTTGCATATGGTTGAGTAACCTGTAACAAATAATTTTGGTATGATTTTGTCTAACATGTTGTTCTACAATATAATCAGTGGTTCAAGTGGCTGCACAGTGAGAAGTACAATGATGGGCTTGGCAGATAGCCTTGTCCTTAAGAGACATTATGATGCACAGACATCATGTTTGCGGTCAGTCTTATTATTTACCCTGCATTTCTTTTTGACCTTGTATTGTTAGTTACAATGTTAGTTGCTTGGGACTGGTATGAAACCAATTGGGGTGTCACTATACCATACCAGTCCCTAGCTACTTAGAGTGGAACGATTATATCTCACCAAATACTTTTAAAATGAGTGTATTAGCAAAGTGTGTACAACAGTATAAAAATATTCATGTGAATGATTTGTGTTTAATTTTTTTCATTATAAGTTTGTCAAAAAATGATATACTAGTAATTGATGCAGTAATTTAATTATTTATTCATTCATATGACCGCTCTTGGCCAATCAAAGTCATTTCTGTATGAGGTGAGATATGTGTATATACATGTAGTGTGTATATAATGTAAGCTCTGGAATTCACAGAAAGGTTTTTTTGGTGACCCTCTACCAAATTCCTTACCATCATGTTGATGGCTGCCAGGGGTCTTAGGCATGGCCACTTTTCCCCATGGCCTATACTTGGAGCTTGTGGCATTTTTTCAACAAAGACAAGTTTTTGTCATAATCTGGCCCCAGTTTGATATTTTGAAATTTGCAAAAAAGTATTCTCAGGTGAGCAATATGTAGTAGGGGTTTTCCTTGACAAAAGAGGGTTTAAAAGACCTCATACAATATAGGAAAACAGAAAGGGTTTATATATTTGGGTGTCAAACTGCACAAATTTGGGGTCAAGGAAAACTCTGATATACATTTCATTTTGTAGGGCCATCATGTGCCCTTTGTAATTTATTAAGAACATAATTTATGTAAATACATAACTTGCACTCAGTTATGTTATTTACAGTATTGATGCAACACATGCTACAGGAATGGGACGCATGATTAATGACAACCATAAAAAACCAAATTGCAAAGTTGTGGTTGAGGAAAAAGATGGCGTTCCTGCACTGTCAATCTACAGCATCAGGCCTATATTCAGAGGACAGGAACTTTGTTTTGATTACAAAGACTCATCAGCACACTGGAGAAAGGTGAATATATTAATTGCATGCTAGTTGATGTTTCAGGTGAGCAATTTAGGACCATCATGGTTCTCTTGTTCGTGGCTGATGGGCAATCGAGTCCAACATTTTGAGTTTATTGGCAGAATACTTTGATAAGTGTTCAATCATCTGGTCAGTTGTCATCTACCATTAGTTACATAGCTGTTTTAATTTTAAGGTGCTCTTTCGTATTTCTATCATTAAGTTAAGTCTGTTTAAAAGTCAACTTTTTCAGTGAAAAGCCACTTACTTGAATGTTTGTCAATTCCAAGTGGGCGAAAAAGTAAAGGGATCTGTTCCTGCGTACTTAAACTTTAAAAGAATTTGGTTTAGCTTTTAGAAATTATATTGTCATATTTGAGTCCAAATAAGTTAATCTTTTTAGATTAACTGTATACTTTGGTTTTAGAGTATAGAAATATAATCAAGTCTGACTTCTGTTCTTGACATTGCAGTATTATTTGGGAAAAGCATATTTCCAAAGTTGTCTCAAATCTGTTTGGGATTTAGTTCACTTACCACTAGCCCAGCTATAGTGACCTGTGGATTAAGAATAAGCTAGAGGAAATCATGCATGCTTTTAAACTGGATTTTACAAAGGAGAAAAAGGTTTATGAATACCTATAACTTGGCAGTGCCTCATCCTAGAGCCACAAATCTTCAATCTTAAGTAGTGGTTTTTAGGGCTGGTGCGAGTATCCGAGTACTCTGATAATCACAAATCAAAATGAAAATTCGAGTTTGAATATTCGTAAGCCCAGAGATCGTGGATCGCGATCTAATTTTTTTATATACCTTCACTGTTTCTCACACTCATAAAATCGATAAAAATACAATTTGAGTTTAAATTATATGAAGTTTACCTACATACAATTTGCCGGTTAAAGACCATGTACCATGATGCTGAGCTAGGAAGTAATTGGTTTAAAAAAAATCAAAACAAAAAAATACTCATGCACATAATAAAAACATAATCCTAGTTTATATTTTATATGTTTAATGTTTAGTATTGTTTTTTTATTAGCTCACCTGTCACAAAGTGACAGGGTGAGCTTTTGTGATCGCTTTTCATCCGGCGTCCATCCGGCGTCCGTCCGTCCGTCCATCCGTCCTCCGTCCAAAAACTTTTAATTTAAATGACATCTCCTCATAAACCACTAAGCCAATTTCATCCAAACTTCACAGGTATGTTCCTTTGGTGGTCACCTTTAAAAATTGTTCAAAGAATTTAATTCCATGCAGAACTCTGGTTGCCATGGCAACCGAAATAAAAAACTTTAAATATCTTCTTTTAAAAAAACATAAGAGCTAGAGCTTAGATATTTGGCATGAAACATCTTCTTGTGAGTGTCTACCAAGTTTGTTCAAATAAAAGCCCTGGGGTCAAAATTGGCCCCGCCCCAGGGGGTCATTGATTTTCCCTATCTGCATATAGTAAAAACTTAAAAAATCTTCTTTTAAAAACTTAAAAGAACCCAAAGAGCTAGAGCTAAGATATTTAGCATGAAACATCTTCAAATGGGTGTCTACCAAGTTTAATCAAATAAAAGCCCTGGGGTCAAAATTGGCCCCACCCCAGGGGGTCATTAATTTTCCCTATATGCATATAATTATATAGTAAAAACTTAAAAAATCTTCTTTTAAAGAACTTTAAGAGCTATGGCTAAGATATTGAGCATCAAACATGTTCTAATAGGTGTCTACCAAGTTTGTTCAAATAAAAGCCCTGGGGTCAAAATTGGCCCCGCTTTAGGGGCTCATTGATTATCCCTATGATATGCATATAGTAAAAACTTAAAAAATCTTCTTTTAAAGAACCAAAAGAGTAAGAGCTAAGATATTTAGCATGAAACATTTTCTTATAAGTGTCTTCGAAGTTTGTTCAAATAAAAGCCCTGGGGTCAAAATTGGCCCCGCCCCGGGGGGTCATTGATTTTCCCTATATGCATATAGTAAAAACTTAAAAAATCTTCTTTTAAAGAACTCAAAGAGCTATGGCTAAGATATTTAGCATGAAACATGTTCTAATAGGTGTCTACCAAGTTTGTTCAAATAAAAGCCCTTGGGTCAAAATTGGCACCGCCCGGGGGGTCATTGATTTTCCTTATATGTGTATAGCAAAAACTTAAAAAAATTTCTTTTAAAGAACCAAAAGAGCTAGAGCTAAGATATTTAGCATGAAACATCTTCTAATGGGTGTCTAACAAGTTTGTTCAAATAAAAGCCCTGGGGTCAAAATTGGCCCCGCCCCAGGGGGTCATTGATTTTCCCTATATGCATATTGTAAAAATTAAAAAATCTTCTTTTAAAGAACTCAAAGAGCTATGGCTAAGATATTGAGCATCAAACATGTTCTAATAGGTGTCTACCAAGTTTGTTTAAATAAAAGCCCTGGGGTCAAAATTGGCCCCGTCCCAGGGGGTCATTGATTTTCCCTATAATAATGCATATAGTAAAAACTTAAAAAATCTTCTTTTAAAGAACCAAAAGAGTAAGAGCTAAGATATTTAGCATGAAACATGTTCTAATAAGTGTCTACCAAGTTTGTGCAAATAAAAGCCCTGGGGTCAAAATTGTCCCCGCCCCGGGGGGTCATTGATTTTCCCTATATGCAAACAGTAAAAACTTAAAAAATCTTCTTTTAAAGAACTCAAAGAGCTATGGCTAAGATATTTAGCATCAAACATGTTCTAATAAGTGTCTTGTTTGTTCAAATAAAAGCCCTGGGGTCAAAATTGGCACCGCCCCGGGGGTCACTGATTTTCCTTATATGTGTATGGCAAAAACTTAAAAAATCTTCTTTGAAAAAACCCAAATAGCTAGAGTTAAGATATTAAGCATGAAACATCTTTTAGTGAGTGTCTACAAAGTTTGTTAAATAAAAGACCTGGGGTCAAAATTGGCCCCGCCCCGGGGGTCATTGATTTTCTTTATATGTGTATAGCAAAAACTTAAAATCTTCTTTCAAAAAACCCAAATAGTTAGAGTTTAGATGTTAAGCATGAAACATCTTCTAGTAAGTGTCTACAAAGTTTGTTCAAATAAAAGCCCTGGGGTCAAAACTGGCCCGGCCCCAGGGGTGTCATTGTTTTTAACTATATGTGTATAGTAAAAACTTTAAAAAAATCGTCTTTTAAAAAGCCCAATGAGCTAGAGCTTAGATGTTTAGCATGAAACATCTTCTTATGGGTGTCTACCAAGTTTGTGCAAATAATAGCCCTTGGGTTAAATTGGCCCTGCAACGTTGGGGGGTTTGGGGGGCCTATATACAGGTGAGCGACCTCAGGGCCATAATGGCCCTCTTGTAAATAAATATGTTTTTATGGGTGTCTTGATAACAAAAGATTTGTGGTTTGATTTGTGAATCGTAAGCGCTGAATCGTGGTTCGGATCGGATCGTCACTTATTTGACAATCCACACCCCTAGTGGTTATCACAAGTAGGTCAAATATCAGTGTTGCTTTAGTATTGCATTTTCAGTGAGGCGAAAATTCTGGTTTGTATGAAACGTTCCATGTTCTTGATCCATACAAATACAGTTGATATAATATTATTATGGTAACAGAACTTAGAAATTAAAGCAACTGATGATTTTAGACAAGGCTTGAAATACTTGGTCACTTATTTCACTTTGTTCCAGAAAAATGCCCCCAAACATACCATATACAAATGTCCAGGTAAGTTGTTGGAAGCATTGTTGACCCTGGTTCAACACAGAATTACGGGGAATCAGGAATTAAATGTATTAAAAAAATCCTAAGAATGAAATAAGTTGAATTTTGGGAATCTTTTTATAGAGGGCCTACCTTAGCAGCATTACAAGGTAATTTTCCCTTATGTGAAAGCTATAATAAATTATACTTAATGTGATGAGATGTGATAAGATTTTGATAATGTCACAAAAAAAAGTGTTCCTGCTTCCCAAGTAGATGTTACGTTTATAGTTTAATGTTTCACCAAAAAAAAATGGTTACCATGAGCAGTTTTCTATAAATAAAAAGTATAGTAATAAAATCAAGATCATTATGTAAGTGATGTATTGAAACCAGTGTATTTTGGGACAGTTTGGCACTCTTATTAAAGTAATTATTTACATTTGACATCCAGAATTTTTATACTTTTGCTACATTGAAGAATGCATATTTTTATTAAAAATGTAAAAATCAAATAATTTTGATGCATTTATAATCTTTAGATCGGGAATTTATTCTGTTACAAATAATTGATTAATTAATTTTTGGGGATGTCATTCTACTGATTAGTTTTGGGAAATAGCTGTGCGCATTATGTTGAAATAAAGCTCCTTAGGGAAAATCGACAAATTAGGAAAAACTTTGCCCTTTAATTTCTGCATTACATTGATTAAGTGAAATTTTTTTTTTTTTATGTTGTAAAGTGAATAAAGAATTAAAACTTAAAAATTAAAATTTTAAAATATGTTTGATACTTTTTGTGTGAGAGACTTAAGAGAGACATTCCTTAACATTTTTCCTTAAAAGGAGCTTTATAAATACTGGCTGAATGGCAATGAATAAAATTTGAGTTGTTGATTGTTACAGGTTTTTTTAAGTTTGTTCTATGTTTTTTCATTTTGTTTAAATTTGAAATATATACCCCACTTGTCCATTTACAATTTCCGTCTGCTCTGTAACTCTTGAACCACTTGAAGGATTTAGAAGAAACCTGACACGAAAGTTTACCAGACTAAGGTAATGTGCAGAAGTGGTTTTCTGGATGGCTGGCTTCAAGGTCAATGTTATACTTAGGTAGGGTTGGATATCGTCTAGAACAAAACGATACGATTTGATACCCATACTCGTGAAACGATACGGTATTTTATTGATACCGATACTCGATACTGTATGTGTAGAAACATTCGCGGGCTTCAAATTTTCGCGGTCTTCGCGGTGACATTCGATCCGCGAATTCATGTTTAGCGCGAATATTTCTACACCAATAATTTCTTAATAGTCATATTTTCGCGCTTC